AAAAAAAAAAAAAAAAAAAAAAAAAAAAAAAACAAAGGAAGAAGAAAAAATTTAGAAAGGAAAAAAGGGAAAATGGTGGAGTTTTGCTAACTTTGTTAGGTGATTGTTATCATTTTGATGGGCTTAATTTAACAAATCATCTACTAACTTTCATACATTTTTTAGTTTCATCTATTATCTTTAGGTTCTTCCAATCCTGTCTACTATCTTTTAGATTCATTTCAATTTCGTCTTGTCTATTATCTTTGACGGAAAACTTCCTATTCTATTAGAGAACAGTTAGTCCTCTAACTATATTTGCTATAAAAACAGCTTTTATATTTAAAATTATTGTTTCTTGGCTCTGATACTAGATTTTTCTACAGGTTTTCAAAACTTAACTCAGGCTACTATTGACTAATAAATAGTTGGTATGTTAAGCTCAGTAAGTGCGGAATTAGATCTACTAGACTGCTAACAAATATAATCTTTGCTTGGCCTTTTTTAATCTTTATAGATCTTCATTTAAATCTGCAACTGCTTGCTTCAATTTTTTGAGATTCTTAGATAGAAGATAATCATCTTCAATATTACTTATTTTTTCTAAAATTTTTACTATTTTATTTCTATAATATTCGCATTGCTGCACATATACTATCTTATCTACAACAATTTCTTGAATAAAATCAAGCATCTTAAATTATAATGATTTATATGAAATGGATTTTTCTATCCAAAATATAAGAGGTTAGGTACTATTTCCCCATCATTTCTCATCTCAAAAATAATCTAATGTTAAGGAATAATAAAGTTGTTTCTAGGCCCACCTTGCTTCCACATGATAAAATAAATGAGTTAGAATTTTACTTGAAAATCCTTTGGTGATGAGAACCCCAAAGAGAACAATGAGACCCACAGCACGACAAGGGATTTCTAAACTCCAGGAAAGCTAAATCAGGTTTATAATAGGACCTTGACCCATTGTTTATGTCGCAACAAGAACCAAAGGTAAAAATCTTGACCCATTGTCTATGACGCAAGGTATAAAGTTGGTTGACGCCACACCCTTGAACGATTAAGAATGAGAATGATAAGTCAGGTTAGAACGCCACAAGAATAATCTTGATAAGTTCTGTAAAGTTTTGAAACAAACCAAAGAGAAAAGTCTCTCAAAATCTCAGATTCAATAGCCTCCCTCCCCATTAGGGTTACAAGCCTTTTAAATAGAGAAAACAAATCCTAATCAGAATAGGAAACTAACACCCCTAAGTCCTAAACCTAATAACCATGAATTGGGCTTCAAATAAGCAAATGTTCAGCCCAAAAATAATACAAAAAACATGAAAATCACTAAAAATAACCTAAAATAACATGAAATATCAGTTTGCTACAAATTGTGGCAGCATTGTGCACTTTTGACACAAACTGTGTAATTCCGTGCAAATGACCTCAACTAAGCTTCTCTTGAACCTGAATGATGTTTACCATGCCTTGATAATCATCTAAGCTTGATTTTGCTTGTTGTATGTTGTTTTCAACCCAGATCTGCTTAATAAGGCCATTTAAAGCTTCACACATCTTCTTAGCTCTAGCTCGCGTGACTGGACCTCCTTGGGTGTGTAATGGATCACATGACGTAGTAGATATGCTATCATCTTGATTCCCATCATTCCCTCTCTCCTCAAAAGGATTTTTCCTCAAATCGTCACCTACATCAAAAGGAGAAAGATCAGAAACATTAAAAGTAGCACTAACATCATACTCACCAGGAAGCTCCAACTTGTATGCGTTGTCATTAATCATCGCAATCACTTGAAACGGTACATTGCCTCTTGGTTGCAGCTTAGAACGCCTTTGTGCAGGGAATCGCTCCTTGCGCATATGCACCCAAACCCAATCTCCAGGTTCGAATACAACTTTCTTGCATCCCTTGTTGGCTTGTTTTGCATACTGCTCAGTTCGTCGCTCTATGTTTTGTCGCACCCTTTCATGCAGTTGCCTAACCTCTTCAGCTTTCTTTTTCCCATCCAAACTAGCTTGTTCGTCAATAGGTAAAGGCAATAAGTCTAAAGGAGTGAGTGGATTAAAACCATACACAACTTCAAATGGTGAACAGTTAGTTGCTGAATGGATGCTCCGATTATAAGCAAATTCAACGTGTGGCAAAAACACTCTTCCCAGTTCTTCAAATTCTTCTGAATAATAGAACGCAATAAGGTTGACAACGTCCTATTAACCACTTTTGTTTGTCCATCAGCTGCAACAAAATACCCTAAAAAGACAAT